AGATTAATTAACTTAAAAACTGATAAAATGCATTTAAAATATTATAATCAATTAATAGAACAAAATATAAACTTTATTATACTAAGAAACAGGGGAATTTATACAAACACTGGCACAACAACCTATTTGTATCACCCATATTAGAACAGGAATTGTTAAGATCACTAGTCACGAAAAAATGAAGCAACCTGTTCTCAATACAGTAATAGAAAATTAAAATTTTATTCTTTTGACACTTTCTTCAAATACACATACGTTTCTTTACTTGTACCATTCTTCACACCACACAGTCCAACACACGCGCACACAGAAAATACACTATAAAATGAAAGTTTAAGTAAACTGAAAAATACAACTCATAATCCAGATAACGAAAAAGAAACCATGAAACTACTGAAAAAACTACATAGAAATGAATAAATTACATTGAATAAACAAAAGTATTCACTCTCTATCAATATCACATTTGATGAAATACAAATAATGTTAACAATTTTTTTTTAATGATCTTGTTTTTATTCAAACTCTAATGATCAAACTTAACACTGTTATGTGTGAAGGTTTAATGTCAGCAAAACCTGTTAAGAAAATATATAAATTGAAATTTGCTGATTGCATAAGTATTCAGCCCTCTAAGTTAGGCCTCTACCAGCTTTGTACAATGGGATGGTGTAATGTTTGTTCATTCTTCGTTGGGGATCGTTGATGGACTGCAATCTTCAATTCTCGTCATAAATTTTCCATTAGATTCAAGTCAGGACTTTGACTGGCCGCTCCAGGACATCCACTTTCTTCTGTTACGACAGCGGAAGTCACGTGACGCTAGTAACACGTCATGAGATTCTAGAAAGATCATGTCCGTTCGTGAAGCCTCTAGTGTTCCCTAGATGCCCTCTATTTCGTATATATAAGTCGGCAAAAGAAGTAACGGGAAATGGTATAGCAGACAGAGAGATTAAAGATATAGATGGACAATTGAGTCAAGCGCGGTAGCAAGTAAAGTGCGTGAATCGTTCGTTGTCAATTATAGCGTGTGTTTAAGTTAAAGTGAATGTGGAAATTAAGTGTATTGCAAAGTTCAGTTGAGAAAGAATAAACTAGTTTTATTTGAGAAAGGACTTGTATCGCTGAAGTTCTCTGGAAAGAGTTTTTACGAGTAATTAACAAACGACCAGAGACGTAACACTTCTTTTGAAACCACTCCAGTGTGGCTTTGGCCTTTTGCTTCGAGTCATTTTCCTGCTGAAATGTGAATTTTCAACCAAGTTTTAGATTCTTGGCTGACTCAAGTAGGTTTTCCTCTAGGATTCGCCTGTACTTTGCACCATCCATTTTCCCCTCAATCCTGACAAGCTTCCCAGTCCCTGTTGATGAGAAGCATCCCCATAACATGATGCTGTCACCATCATACTTGACATTTGGGATGGTGTTGACTCGTTGATGTGCTGTGTTGGGCTTGTGTCAGACGTAACGCTTTGAATTTAGACCAAAAAAGCTCAATTTTTGTCTCTTCTGACCAAAAAAAACATCCTGCCACATGTCTTCAGTATCATTTACATGCTTTATCGCAAAGTCCATACGAGATTTAAAATGATTCTTTTTCAGTAATGGCTTCTTTCTTGCCACCATCCCATATAGGCCAACTTTGTGTAGTGACCGGGATATTGTCGATTGATGTATAAACACTGACTCCCATCTCAGACATGGAACTTTGCAAATGTTTCAAAGCCACTGTTGGCCTCACAATAGCACACCTAACCAATTTCCTGCTTGTCCAGCTGGTTAGCTTGGAAGGGCGGTCTGATCTGGATAATGACTGGGTGATATGAAGCACATTCCACTTCTTAAAGATGGACTTCACCATACTCAAAGGGAAAATCAATTTGATGTTTTCTTGTAATCTTCTCCTGATCTGAGCTTCTCTATCGCTTTATCCCTGACTTGTTTTAAATGCTCCTTGGCCTTCATGGTTGGTTTGTCGTATCACTATGTGAGTTGTAGCTTGAACAGATGCATTTATTTTGAAATCAAGTTAAACCACTTTAATTATACACAGACAAATACCATTACACTAATTTTGGGACCTTTCAAACTAATCTTTTGCACCTGAACTGATTTAGGGTTGCCGTAGGAAAAGGGTCTAATACTTATGCAATTGAGAATATTGTTACGCCTCTGTTTTCGTTTGTTAATTTTCCGTAAAAATTCTTTCCGAAGAATTCTTAAATAAAACTAGTTTATTCTTTCTCAATACAACTTTGCAACACACTTAACTTCCACAGTCATGCTATAACTTAAACAAACACTATAATTCACAGTGAACGATTTACGTGCTTGACTCAATTGTCGGTCTCTATCTCTGTCTGCAATTCAATTCCATTGTTGCCGTCACTTCTTGGCGGTCTTATATTCAAGAATACCGCACATCGAGTAAACACTCGAGGCGTCACGAACGGACATGAATTTTCTAGAAGCTCATGAGGTGTTACTAGAATCACATGACTTCCGCTGTCGTAACAATATTGTAATTCTCTTTGAAAATCTAACTTACTTACATAATATCAGCGGTTTTTACCTTTCACAGTTTGGAGTAGATTGTGTAGATTCTAAATATAAAGCCCTATTTGAAAATGTTATGATTGCAAGCTCAGAGGGCGACAAAATGTGGAACTTTGCAGGAGGTGAATACTTTTGCAAGGCACTGTACTTTAGCTTTGTTATTACAGCATACAGGTGGTTGTTCACTATCTATGGTAACAAATTGCATATCCAATCACTTTGACTTTGGCCATCCCCGTTGTCTGTTACTGAACAAATTAAAAGCCTTATCTTCTCGATGCAGTGCAATTCGGTTGAATTGTGGTGCTTTGGAATTGCAAGTGAAATTTTAAATTGACCCCTTCTGAAAGAGTTACATTATAAAACTTTACTGCAAGAAGTTCCCATATTCAGCTAGTAAAAGAGGATTCAAAGCATGAAAACTGAACGTTTCAAAGAGACATTTATGGCATTAAACCATATCAGTAAAGCAATGGAAGGTTTGATTTTAACTGGGAAAACAACAAATAAATAAGAAAACAGATTATTTCACGACCAGCTGTCACTTGCACTTAGCGATTAATGAAGAAAGATAAACCGGAAGCAACCCAAACATATAGCAGTACACTACAAATAAAGTAGAAAACTAATTTCGAACTATGTTTAGTGTAAAAGATACGGATTGTTTCTCTTCAGAATACACACATATATATATATACATGTTGGTACTACCTTAGCTTTCAAACAGGAGTCATATTAAGACAAACTTAGAAAAATTTAGCTTTTGTACACTCATAAAAATTAGTATAAAATAAGCGGACGTATAGCTTCAGCTACTCCTGTGAAGGGTTGAAAATCGGTTAGAATTTTGCACTTATTCTTATAAAACTAAAATATCGATAAAACAAAAACAAGTGCAACAATAAAATATAATACGGAACTTCACTCAAAGCGAATACAATTTTTCCTTGTTATAACACTACAATCATACTGATTATTGATTATATAATCTTGCTTTCATTATAATTAATTTCGTAAATTCATGGTAACCTTATTATAAACACCAAAATTCATCCACAAGCTTTGTATAAATATTTCGTACAATCTTCCGCTGCCACCTATCGCTTGTTTTCTTAAATAAACTAGGGTATCGAGAGATAGGGAGGGGAGGGCATGTGAATCAACCCGAGGTCTAAGGGAGTGTTCGAAATGCCGATGGAAACTCGCTCTAATAGTGCTCTCTTTAAGAGAGCTGAACAGTTGAAAAGATGGGAAGATTCGGATACTAATAAAGAATCAGTTGTATCAAAAAGAAATAATGGACTTGGAAAGATAAAATTCACAGATGGTTGCGTGTTCCTTGCTGCTTGTGCTTCTGGTGACACAGAAGAGGTTGAGCGTCTGCTTGAGAAAGGTGCAGATATCAATACTGCCAATGTCGATGGTCTTACCGCTTTACACCAGGTATATTATCTTTGAAAATATTCGGGCATTTATCAGTATCAGTATAAAACGTAAGCAACTACAAACATTTATGTGATTTATTGTGATTAAACAAAATACATGTTTCTCTTGAGCTTTTCTTTTTCAACGATAGGTTAACCCTAACTAACTACAGTACGACAGGATCGTACTCGTAAAATCAGTGATACGACTCACAAGAGTCATATTCATAACTGTTGGAAGGACTTTCAGTTCACCACACACAGTCGTATTCATCGCAGCTTTGAGACAGGGCCAAATATCATAATGATAATATTCAAACTTAAATAAAATTTGAGTTGTAGGGAAAAATATGGAGCGAAAAAGAAATTCACAGTGTTTGAAACATAGCACATGAATTGATGAAATTAGAGTTTATATTCATATTTTTAAAAGTTGGACATAAAGAAAATAAAAAAAGGATAAATATTCCATTCTATTAGTAGTACTATTAAAATTTACAAAATGAAAATTTTCAGGAGTTTTTTTGTGTTTTCAAATTAGTACATTCTTATTGTGTTAAAAGTTGTCTTATCACATTTTGGTTTATGAATTGTGCATATTTTAGTTTTAAGCATTTAGTATTATTACCATAAATTAACATTTATTCATATCATATGGTACTGAGATATTTGTGAATGAAAATATCACACCAATCTTCTTAATGGTTTGATGAAGTTGTGTTTTTGATGAGTGTAATAAAAATATATATTAAGTTAATTGTTATATTATTTGTGTTGATGTGATTTACAGTGTATGATCATATGATTAATATTCACAGTAAACCAAGCCATCTATATATTTTAAGGATGTAAAGTTGTGTTGAGACTTTTGCAAGTCATGATTTTAAGATGAAGTTGAAATGGTTTGAAAGACATGCTGCTTTTGATAGCATGGTAAAACATGTGGTTAGAATTGGGGCAAGTTTTATTTTTAGTGAGTATTAGTTTTTTATTGCACAAACCATTGTAGTAAAATAAGTTTTTTGATAAAAAACACTATTTTTTCTCTATAGTTGTTGAAAATTTATTATATAATGATAGAAATAAGTAAAAATAGTCATGTGGGTTATGTACCTAGGCCCAAAAATAATGTTATTGAAATATATTCTGGTGTAAATAAAAATATTTTATTAGCCATTACATAGTTCACTGTAATCTGTAGTAATATTTGCTAACTTGGAATTCAGAGTTTTTAAGTAATATAAAACAAATCTTTGTACAATTATGAATTTTGTGTTTGTAGTTGTTTTTTATAAAATCATGTCCTTATTATTAGAGCTCTTCAGAAAAAAAAAAGCATGGTCTACCTTCTAATTAATCTTCATTACAAGAAGTACCCAGAATGTAGATAATCACCTTTTATTTCTATCACAGTTTAGTGGATGTTTTATTATATCAAATTAATAACCATTTTTAGGTGACTATGTGACACTTGGAAATTCTATAGAAACTACGATCTTGTAATATATATGAAATTTAACTATCAGAAGTTATTATATTGCCTAATAACTGATCCTCACATAATAAGGTATAATAACTACATAAGTTAAAGTTGGGAGAAGTTGTAATGTTACTTAACTGTTTTATACATCTGTGGTTGATATTGAATCGTTTTAAACTTTACAGTTTGTAAAAGACAGCACCTTGATAACTGAAAAATTGAGGTATTGCACTTACATTTATATCATAGGCTAAACTCTTTGCATTGTAACAAACTGTGTACAGAGTTGGGAAAAGATGTAATGAATAAAATATATTTGCTACTCTACAATTTTTTTTGAAGCATAAATTTGTTGGCTTAGTTAGAGCATTATTAAAAGACTTGGAATATTATTCAAACAGTTTTTGAAGTTTTTGTGCTCTCTTCATGGAATAGCTGATCATTTAACACACACAAAATTGACCATTTGGTTCTTTAAGACTTTCCTTGTACACCTACTCATGTGAAAAGTAAAACAATTTCAGGAAGTCTTCATTTCCTCTCTTAATATCCTCTAAAGTGCTGGTCTCTACTAATGCATAAATCAATCACCATGTTAGAAGAATAAAATTATCAGTATTAACTGAAGTGTAGCATGTCTTTTCCAAATCTTGAACATGTGTTCTTTTGTCCTGTTAACTACAGAATATAATACTAAAGAATAAGAGGTTTTATCTTATTGTTCTTCTTGATAATCTTGTAAGCTTCAATATGATCATTTCTTACTCTTTTTTTTTTTGTCTCAAGAGAAAATAAGTTAAAAGATAATTCCTGTAAGAAAACTCTTCTAACCCATGGATTATCCTAGTAGCCCTCCTCTGAACCTTTTCCAATAAGTCGGTATCCTTTTTTAAGTAAGAAGGCAAAAACTGTACATAATATTCCATGTGATGCCCAATTAGTGATTTGTATAGAGAGATAATTACCTATTTCGACTTAATGGGATATTATTAACTTTTTTATATTTTATCAGAACTGAAACTAAGCTTAAACAGTCTTAAAGATTTTCGATATCTATTAGTATGTTCTTAAGAACATTTTCATACATTTGATTGATAGAAAATATGATGCATAGAAGTATCTAATACTTAATTACCGTCATTATTAGGTGAAGCTCAACTGTCTACTGTGATGGTTGTCATTTTTTCCTAAACAGACAAAATATTTTACTTTTACTGTTTATATTTTAAGACAAATGGTCTATCTATTAATTTTTATTAAACTATTTCTGATAAAAAGGAATATCAAAAACTACTTGTACATTGTTTAAAGTTATTACACATTTAAGTCACAAATTAATTTCTGTAATAATTGTTGCATATAGAAAATAGTGCCTTTTTAATAATTTGTGTCATTTAAATACTTAGTATAAATGTAAAATAGAAGTTTTTAACAGTTACAAGTGACTAAAACATCCATTAAGAGCCATTCTTGGATGTAATTGTTTTGTTATTCATGGGGTTAGAGAGGTTACTTGTTGTAATATGACTTTTATTATTCTAAACTTGTTAATAAAATTCATATATGTATATATATATATATATATATATATATATATATGTTTCTCTTACTCAAACTTATTAGTTATTATTTATATAGTGTTACAAAAGATACAAGATTAAAAAATAATTTTCTTCCATAAGAAATACATGTGTATGATAAATTTCAAACTTTAAGATTAAAGATCCTTTTCTTACTGAGTGGTTCTATATATTTGTAAAAAAATGTGGTTAATAATAAGTAATGTCTATTAAAGATCTTGATATCCAACTTAATATCCTAGCTACTAAATGTTACCCATAACACGAATTACTTGAAACAGCTTGTACCATTTTTACTGACACATTTTTCTTGAAAATCCTAAGTAATTGAAATGTTTTAGGTCTTTTGTATGTAAAAAAAAACTAGCAAAGCTGAGATTGTCAAATTATACAGCAGTGATTTATGTTACACATGTGTATTTTGGTATTCATTTTTTTATTTTTATTATATTGTGATACAATAGTATTTTACATTACTAACAAGCTTCTTTCCCCTAGCCTTGGTGAGAATTGTAGTTGTAGAAAAGAATTTAATTTTCCAAGTTTTTAGTACAGCTTCTTAATAGTGGCACATCAGCATTTTAATAAGATTCAGAAATTTACTGTTATATTCTCATAGGGATTTGTGTGTGACGATTAAAAATAAAACTATAATAATGTGTAAAGGTATAAATACTAAATGTGAAAGCATTACATCAGCCCATAATTTAGCACTGTTGTATTGGGCTTGTTTAGTTACGATTTCCGTATGTAGAATTCCCGTCTATAGCTAAAGTATATTAATTTAAATTCGGATATTTTAGCAATTGGACAGTTTCTTTGTAACTATTTGCGTGTTATTCTTCGAACTTATGTATTTATTTTTTTTTCTCTTAAGTATTGTAATAGAAAATGTTCTGATACAACGTGGAAACATTCATAAATGAATTGCGTAATTTACTGCACATGCTAAATGCATGTTTATTTATATATTATTTTCTACATCGACAAGAATAAATTACGCCGAGACTTTTATATAATGTTCAGTTATCTGTTCAAGCTATAGCTTTGTAAGATTGCTGTGTAACAGTTTCTTGTTTAGATACGAACAAATGTGACTACAGATACTTGCGTGACAGAGAGAAACAAATGTAGCTTAATATTTCATAAAGTAATATCCCATTATTTATTGGGTTTATTTAAATGCTTATGGTAGCAATTTCCTTTATTTGTTCTATCTTGTTTGTTTTAAATGCAGAATTGCAAAGTATGTTATCTGCGCTGTTCCCTCCGCGGGAAACTGAACCCCGAATTTCCGTGTTTTAAGCCACTAAACTTACCGCTGAGTGCTGGGGGAACCCTATAATTCTAAATAACTATACATTGTATATCAGGATAGTTTTCCCAGCCGAGGTTGAAATTACTAAACATTCTAGTCTGACCATTTCACAGTAAATATATATATATATAGTGGTTTGTTTAATATACATGTATAGTATTGAATATGGCTAGAAATTTAGTCCAAAAAAACAAGTATCCTGCTACGTGACACCCACAAAAACATACTTTTTACATTTGATGTCACTAGTTCGTCACAGTTATGACAGAAGTGTAAGAAAATAATTTTAACAATAACTTTTAAACTTCATATGTTCGTGTAATAATTAACCCTTCAACTGCGGTTGACATCATATGATGTTAGCGTAGGCGACTGCGGTTGACACCATATGATGCAAGTATTTTACGCGCAACATTTTGAATGGTCCGCCGCAAAAGTTCGCGAATCTTTGCGCATGGGATGGTAGGCAGATTTACACATTCCGCAAACGAAACATTAAAAGTAGCTTTACAGTTGATAGAGACAACGTCAAAGGAGTCATCGGTGGAGAGAAAAACGTGAACATTTGTTCAAAAAGGTATAATACAAAGGATTAAGTCGTATTTAAATTATTTTAAATATGCAAATCAGCAAGTTACCTG